CGGGGTTAGAAGCATACAACATACTGAGAATATTTAAAAGTTTGTCAGTGATCTGGGAAATGTTATAACCTCTTCAAGTATAAAATCTCCAAAAGATATAATAACCATGGGAGATATACAGAATGTAGCAGAAAACTCATTCATACAAAGAAATCTGGTTAGTGTAGTTAGTATAGTGCAAAACGTAGTATGATTAGGTTTTGTTAAATTACAAGGCTTGAATCTCAGAAGAAAGAAAACAGGCTAAATTTGCAGGTTGGAGCACCTGTAAACCAGTAACTTTGTGAAGGACTCATTGGTCAAGGATGAGCCTATTGATCCAAAACTAGCTCTGCAAGGCAGCAGCCAAGATAACTTATGCAATCTTCAGATTTGTATACAGTGATATATTAAACAGGAAGCAATCCATTATGTTATGCTTGTATTTGATTGTATTTGACATGTATTCAACAAAAACATGAAGTCCATTGGGTGTCCACAATTAAATAAAAATAGTGACTTGTAAATGTCTGTTAGAGAAGATTCACATATTTAAGAATTGAAAAAAAAAAACCAAAGAAATTTATTACACATTGTTAAATAAGGAGAAAAAGTTAAGGGAAAATTTGAACACAATCTCAAAGCTTCAACACAGAGAATGGAAGATTAATTGCAAGATTTTATTTAATTTAGAAAACATGGCTAGAAGTCATCCATTAAAAAATAAATTTTCAGTGATATTAAAAGTATATTTTATCAAGAAAGATCTTCCTGATAAACAAATTAAATCATACCATATTCTCAGCTGTTTTCAACCATTTAGAAAAAAACATCCAATCTTGATTTAAAAAATTTCAATACACAGATAATTTTTGACAAAAAATACTGTGACCCGTGCTATGGGTCAAGGTAGTCTCTTCTGCCAATCAAATCTATCTATCTACTAATTTCACAGAACATAAAAGAAATTGGTGACAGTAACGCTGGTAAGAAATCCAACTCTTGGGTTACAGTGTTTAGAAATTTTGTCAGTAGCCTTTCTCACTCAAAAAGAAAAATCAAAACAGTTTAGTGATCTTATTTTGTGCATATATATATATATACATACATACATATATTTAATTTTGTAGTATTCACTATGGTCTCTTGAAAAATCAGATTAGATTTATACTTGAAAAACAAGTCTGAAGTTTTACACCTAACCATAAAAGTTACCTCTCAGAGAAATGACATAATTCTTGTAAGGCAGAACAGTGTAAACTGTAAGAATGTAAGCCTACAACACCAGGCATTTATCAAACCCTTCCTAGCCTAGACTGAGAAAAACACAGAGTGCATTGAGTCAGCTTTTTCACAGCTCTGTGATCTTGCAGGGGAATGAAAGATAAAGAGGAGAAAAAAAGGCATCACTAAAGACAGGGTGTAGGCTTAAAAAACAAGAAAAACAAAATAATTTGCCGGACACTTTCAACTACACTTCCACTACATTTGAGGTCCAAAGCCTGGATAGTCCATTTACCTTTTCCTTTCTAATACAAATGCTTTCTCAATCACCTCCTCCTCCCACCTCCTGCAAGTTAGGGGATTTGCTGCTGTCACAGACTTCACTCCACTTGCGTAATGGCCTCTTCCCCTGGGTTGTACCTATCTTTTCTATTTAAAGCATGCTTTCACTCTCCCTCAGCATACTATACAGAGCCTAGGACAAGGTGAATTTACTCCTTAGACTTGTTTTTATTTATATATATTAATAATAGATAGTATATGCATATACACACACACACACACACACACACACACACACACACACAAATTTGCTATGCCCAGGAGTTTTTCTAACATGTATTCACCTACACTTGTCCTCATGGAATCATAAGCCTAGCAAGGATTACTGGAGTGTGGCACACACTCCTCATGCTGCCTCCTATCCTCAAAATGCAGGAGATGCCATAGATTAAGAGCTGGAAAATACTTATTTACAACTGATTTATTCTGCTTCAGTCTCACAAAATTCTAGGATGGGAATGGGATATGATTTGGATTTGGCACCTGACCTGATTATATTTTTCAGTTTGACAACTATAGGTAGGAGCCTTCTTGTGAGAAACCAGACAATATATCAATTCTTGAGAGGGAGGGGAATAGAGATTAATATTTTTAATTCCAATTAAGCCTTTTTGGGTACACGGGATGACTTGTCCCAGAGATGAGTCAGAACAGCATGGAAGGATGCTGATGGTTATAAGATTTTAGTTTTCCTGGCTTCAAGGACATGTTTTGAAAGCAACACTCTGGGATCCACAGCCAAATAAAAAGTGCTCTTGTCTCTGGCACTTATTCCTTTTTCATCTTTCCATGACCCTTTATCCGAAGCATCTTGGCTTATATGACAGAACCACAAAACTCTTCTACATCTCTTTCCCTTCCATCCCTCTCTCTCTCACGGCCATGATCCTTACTCCACTGTCCACTTCCAGCAACACCATCTACTTCCAGTCTTCTCAAATGAAGGGGCTACATGAGGATCCATCTTCTTTCATAATCACCTTGGTACTACTTCCCAGCTTCAGCTTGTTCCCTTACTAGTATGGGACACGATTCCTTCTCAGAATTTCCTGGGTAACATAAAGGTAACTTTCTTGACCTCGTCACAGTGAATCCAACCAAACTGGGAAATAACTCTTACAAGAAAAAGAAAAAAAAAAATCCTTCCAATCCACACAGCCCCCAAACTCAATCTCACCAGAATTTTTAAGGGGGGAAAAAAAAAATAAAAAAAATCAGCGTCATGAACAATCTAGTGTGGAAAATTAAGCCTTGAATAGACTTTCAAAATTCAAACTTTGGAAACTAAAACACTATCTTATTTAGTAGTGGTAAAGTACCTTCATGATACGTGACATTAGCAGAAAACTGACAAAACATGATATTATTAACCTTAATAGAAAACTGACAAAACAAACAGGTAAATAACAATAAAAGATACATACCTTGCTTATAAAATGCATATATTTTTAGTTTCAGGTCTTGTCTGTTGGAAAAACTGTACATGACAAATTATGAAATCTGTTGATATTTTACAGAAAGCATAACAGTCTCCCTCCCATGTGTAAGGAAAAAAATTATTTCCACAGCATCTTTAAGACAGAATCAGCCCATCATCATTCAATTAAATGCTGAAATTACCAATCAGGACTCCTACCCCCAGCAAGTCATGTAATGGTCAGAAAAGGTGTTAGACACTTAATTCTCCTGGATTTGGAAATTTTTTATCTACATATTCATAAAGCCTGCTATGATCCTCTTCATTTTGTACATTAAGAGTGATATGAAATACAATACAGTAAGATGATAGAAACCCTGAAGGGAAATAACTTAGAACAAACAATAGGAATTATTTTAATATGATATATAATTAGCTTGCAATATATCATGAGCAGTTTGTTAAAGTTTCCTGACTTGTAGGCACTGCAGACTGCTGCACTGAGATTTATTAAAAACCCCTGCATTTCAGTAGATGCAAAGTGCATTGTTACACGTGTAACAATGTCACTATTAAAACCTTTAATAACCACATTACTATGCACATTATTAGTTCCAAATTCACACACATGTACATGTCATATGTTCAAAGACCACTGAACGTCAGGAATCTCATTTACAGGCTCTCTAAGAAAGGAACGTGTGCTTGTGGTAATGACAGTTTGTTGAATCCTGCCACAGAGAGAACTGCAAGTGGTGATGATAGAAACGCTCCTCTCAGAACATTTCACAACCCTGTGTTCTGGTATTTTTTTATCTTTGCTGCAGTGAAAGCTTTGAATGCACAAACTGCATATAGAATCTACATGAATGTTCAGGAGCAAATTCTGCCCAGTGGGGCAGGATCTTAATGGTGTGGCAACATGATCAATCTTTTAATTCGCTACAGCCTGAACGGAAACTGAGTCCAAGCAAAAGGTCAGAACAGGCATTTTATATTCTCTGTTAAAGGAGGGGAGGGAAAAAATGTCTTTGAGGAGTAAAGTAAGTAGCTAATGAGACACAGCACCGACAGCTGGAATTTAATAAGTATCCACTTCACAAGGAAAATTGCTCTTAGTAATTAAATACAGGTATCATACAAAGCTTCTGCTTAGAGCTAGACTTCAAAATCCTTCTGTCAGTAGGACTGAAGAGGTTTTACATACCAGGTAATATAAGGGTGAGTTTGCCTGGGAGGCTAGTCCTAAATGAAGAGGGTTAATTGCATAAAATTCACAGTCATGTCAGTGGTAAATAATTCCAAAGGGACTTGTTCAGACAGTAGCCTGGTATTACTGAAAAACAGACCTCAACTAAAAAGACCTGTTATAAAGTCCACCAAAACCTGAGACACATAAAAAGTTTATTGGTCATTGCAGAAATAAAATGCAAACAAGATCTTTTTAGAGGGATCCAAAATTCTTTATGCTCCAGGTCTGCAGGACCATAAAACTCTACCTGAGAAAATTTTAAATAATCTTCTAATTAATCATAGGATTTTATAGCCTCTCACAAGCTGTAAGTAAAACATTAACAAGGTAGGAGGAAGTCCTCTTTGTACTAGGCATGATTCCAAAGCCCACTGACATATTCCATTAGACAGGCCAGATTAGAATGTAACATCAAACAGATAATAACGGATAATAGCACACAGAATTGTGTTTCATTGAGAGGACTGCATTCCCATAAATGAAGGTAAAAGTCTCTAAACTACTGGGAGTCTCTGAGAGACCAGAGTCTGACTGGTTTTCTGTAATTTGAGACATCACCATCAAAATATGACCATGTAATATATCCTTAAACATAAAACTCTTATCCCTGAAAAGAACACTGTTGGTATCACAAAAAAACCCAGTTAAAGTATGTAGATGGCTGAATATTTTTACCAACCGAATGCAATAGCTTTGCATTTACTCAGGAATGCATAACACAACCACACAGCTGTATTTACTTCAGTGTAAAAGAGCACTGACTCTGCAATACATGTTTTAACCTACCTCATAGTACATGGGCCCATCCTTAACCTTTTTTCCCTTTTGACTCCCACATTCTGTGATCTGCAAGTAAATAAAGCATTCTACTGTGAGAAGATTTTATGTATACATAGTTTATTTTGCTCATTGTTCCCTTTTGCAAACACTACATTTAAACTCCAAAACAGTGAGGAATCATCTTATGGTACCCCTGCACCTTAGGGAGGGAGTTTTTGTGATCGGCACCTTGAAGAAAAGTCTGTAACAAAACTTCATCGCATCCCTTCATTACAGGGAGCAGAACAGCTTATACAGTAAGCTTTCCTTTTTCCATTTTTTACTCCTGTGAATTAGGGCAATGAAGCCGGCGAAAGGTGTAGAGAGTAAATCATATGAGGAGCAGTTGAGGGAGCTGGAGAAATCCTTTTCTCAGTGGAGACCTTATTGCTCTCTGTAACTATCTGAAAGGAGGTTTTAGCAAGGTGGAGGTTTGACTCTTCTCCCAGGTAACCAGCGACAGAACAAGAGGAAATGGCCTCAAGTTGTGCTAGGGGAGGTTTGGGTTGGACATCAGGAAGAATTTCTTCACTGAAAGGGGTGTCAAGCATCGGAATGGGCTGCCCAGGGAGATAGTGGGGTCACCATCCCTGGAAGCGTTCAAGAAACGACTGGACGTGGCACTCAGTGCCATTGCCTAGCTGGCGAGGTGGTGTTTGGTCAAAGGCTGGACTCAATAACCTTGGAGGTCTTTTACAACCCTAGTGATTCTGTGAATTAGTGTAATTTTTGAAACTTCCACAGAGTAATTTATCGTTACCACAGGCCAAAGAAGGCACTACCTAGAAGTGAGATCTACAGTTTGGTTTGTTATTAAAAGTTACTTTCTTGGTGTACCTGTCTGAAAATGTCTTCATGGGTTATTATGCTGAAGAGTTTTCGCTGTGGCACCCGCACAGCCATAGACAGGGCCTGAATGTGGATTTCATCCTCCATCTTGGTCCCAACAACGAAAGCGATGCTAGGCTTCCAGTCATCCTACGTTCCAAAATAAAAATGTTAAGGTATTAAAATTCAAGCAAACAAAAGTACTTCTCTGCAGTTTCAAAGAGTAATTCTGTAGAGATGGCTTTATGTCCCTTGAAGACATACTAAACATCACTGTATTAATCACACTGAAATAAATTGTATACAACCTGAAAAAGCACATACTACTTTGTCCCAATGCTTTCTGCCATCAGGTGGCAGCATTATGCTATGGAAAACACAAATGCCTACAAACAGCCTCTACAAACCTCCCCCCAGGAGAAAGCTGCTTTAGCATCACACAAAGATGCACTAGCTTTTAAATGGCATTTGCAGATTTGACAGCTTAGCAAACAAGAAGTGAATTTTGAATATATGTAGTATTGTGATTATTTGCTGTAGACAAAAATAAAAAAATTTCAGCTCCTTCACCCTGGGAATTAGATAATGCCCAGTTACCACTTTCTGAAAATCACAGCATTATTTGTATGATATTTTATGAGGGTATATTTATGCATAGAACTTGGTTCCACTAAGCATACTGAACCAAGAAAAATTACTTCTCAATGGCAAGCTGTATTTCACTACAATACTGACAAATGAAAAACACTAGCAGTTTCCAAATATTTGCAGTAACATACACATATTTTAATGGAAAGAAATATGTTTTCAGCGTTAAAGAAATGTGGAACAAGAGAAGATTGGAACATGTTATTTAGCGATATATATACACAAAAGCTTAAAAATCATGTCATTTAAGCAACTTTTACTGGTTAATCTTCTTTCACATTTCTGCTCTAACCTACTGGAATCCCTTTCACAAAGTGAGTAACACATCTTGCTCCAGAGTATTCTTTATTGACATCAGTGGTGGCTGAACCATAAGCACTTCTAATGGTTGTGCTGTACACTCTTCATGAATAATGAAATTTATTTTTTTTCAATGCACATCTGCATATCTAAACTGCAAGGTTATCAATACAGCTGCATAAAGGTATAAACATGGAGAGGGCTTCAGTCAGAGCAAGGAAGCCCCCAGGACCAGGTTAAGCAGAGTCACATACCAGTCCACTGTGCATCATAGCAAAGAAAGATTTTAAGGACAAATTTAAGAGAGGGTGGTAACTTTAGGATATTGATGAAAATATTTTTGTATGTTTATATTATGTATGAAGTTGTGGAGAAGAGGAACAAAACCTGAGTTTATAGTGAAGCGAGGAAAAGAATCGTTCTAAGAAAAAAAGGTATAAATGGTAAAAGAAATTTCTTTTTCCAGTTTCCAGTCACAAGTGTGGTAAGCTTTAAGAGAAGTGGTGGAACTCAGACAAGGAGCAAGAGAGTGGAAATGGAAGGAGAAATTAGGGAAAACTGTGGCCAAGGGGTGGAAAAATCAAGAGACAGGACTACAGGGAAGACAGGTTTCAGAGACTTTGTTGCAGCGTAATATTAATCAGTGCTAAGCAGGTTTAAATTGTAGGCACCAAGATACCAGCACATTTTAAGGGGGAACTGAAGAAGGCCTAAGACAGAGGTTTAAGGACTTTCTGATAGAAATTTCTTTGCATATCTGAAGAACGGCAGGAAGTTGTGGGAGTGAACTCTGTATTCCTGCTGGACCATGCTCACCCTAGCATCCTAAGTAGAACCTGACATTCCTGACTCCTGCTGCTCTTGTGCTGTCACCATCTGTCTGTGAGACTGACTAGACTTTGTTCCCCTCTCTTAGCGATCCTTAGTGAAGTGGACAGTGTAGTGATATTAGTTCCTCCATTAGCTCATGTCACAGGTGAGTGGTTGTTCTAGAGACTCCTTCTCTGCTGGTGAGCCCTGGGAGCACCAGGATACTGCCACATGAGGACATTTCAATCTCAGTTCTGAGAGATTGAAATGTATAATGTATAATTTTCTAAATTATACATTTGCACACAAACATGAGCACCTAAATCCTCTCTGTTCAAAGAAAGGTAAAGTTTTTCTGTCCAACTCTTGGCAACTATACAGTGATAACTTTGATGATACTATTGGACTATCCAGAGCTCTTTTGTAGAGCTGTGCACTGGTAGCTCTCTTTCAACTTTAGGCAGGAGGAGTTACAGTCCCCTCATGGGCCATTGCTGCTTCCACTTCTCCACTGAGCAGTGCCTGCTGCCCCAGGTCAGCTGGGCACTCTCCTCTCATAAATTCCATGGTGTTTGCATGCTCCTAGAGCATCAGTGATGTTCTTGCACTCTCCAGCACTTTGTAATTCTAAAAACTTGAGGTTCATTTTGTGCTACAATAAAACGTCAAGAAGTTCACGATGTTTGGAGCTGTAGGGGCCCTTTTAGATGAGTTAACTGATTGTAGCGACTTGCAGTTTCACGTGGTGACCAGGCGATCTTTCCATCTTTTTTTGTTTTTCTGAATATTCTGTGGTTAAAAAACCGAGATGTACATATAATCACATTGTACCATACTCATGTGATGTTTCTTTGCTACCGTAAGAGTTTGACAAACTGTTTCCCAAGTATATACTAGTTTGAAACTTGTCAGCTGTGGCTTGCTTCCATCCCAAGCCATCAGTTACTCAGATTGCAAATATTTAGGTAGGTTTTTTTTCAGCTAAGAAAAGGATCAAGTGAAGAAGCTACTCCCCTAGCTCTCGCCCTGTGTCTTCTTGTCCAGCTCGTCTCCAGCTTCATTATCTGATACCACTTCCAGCTTTTTTCATCCTCAGATCCTCCTCCCAAACCCTTATTCTCTAGCCCCTATAGTAATTCCCAGGCACTCTCATAATTATGGTTGAGCGATGAGACTCTTCTTCACAAAGGCACTATAAAGCAAGAGGAAAGAAAATTTTCCTGATTTCCACTGTGGTGCCCACCTTCACAGCAACCTGTGACAAAGCACCAAAGCAAAACATAAGGGTAAGTCCTGTTTGTTCAAAATAAATTTTCTAGAAAAAAAATAGGAATTACCTAAACAAAATTATCCAATCCAAAATTTTTTTCAACCAAACAGAAATAATCCTTCACTATGCCTCATTTCCCCCATCCCCCCCGGAAACCCTCTGCTTCAAAGAAACAAGCTGATAAAGCTTCTTCACAGAAGAGCTATGAGAATATTTATAGCATATGCAAAACACTGGCTAATAGATTAAAAATAAAATACATGGAATGAGCCTCTACAAGATATCTGATCTGGTAGTGAAAATTATAACCCCCAATTTACTTAATTCTACAGAAGTATATGCAGCTGGATACAAGGTCTTTTGCACAAAAATTTAAACATTATTAGAGACAGCCTATACCTCCCTAGTGTAAAATGAAGAAAAAAAATTGCTCTTCTAAAAAAAGTGCAACACCTGGGAATTGGAGTTAGATAAATATCAGAAATAGCTACACACACTTAACAGGGAATAATGATCCAGACTTCCCAGAGTCATTATTAGCATGCCATCTATTTCTAGACTGACCAATACTGAAGCCCTTAAAGGTCATTTTTTAGAAAAGCTGCACACTGAGAACAGCAACTGAAGTCAGTAAGAATAGTGAATGTGCAGTGTTAGTATATAGTTTAAGGTGTTTAACTGATTATACTCTTTTCTGACCTGAAAAATTAATATTTTTGCAATACTGCCTTTATATGATCAATCCTGTAACAGTACCCATAATGTTCAAGGCATTGAAAGGATAGAGAAGAAACAGACCCTGCTTCTACAGCTCACCACCTAAAATCACAACATAAAAATGGGAAGGAAAAGTAGTAAAATGTATATGGTTACTTTAAAAATATTTTCTCCCTCAATATACAACTCCTCCTCTACTTAGTTTAATTCTTTCAAATGTTATTGTAGAAGCGAGACATGAGAAAGGATCTGAAAGAGGATAGATTAGTGACCCTAAGGCTACCTCAAATGAGGTTCCTAGCCTAAAGAACTGGATAGAGAAAACCATAAAAAATAATTACTGGAAAAGCATGGAAACAGTCTAGAGAGGCTGCCATTGAGAATATAACAAGCACTACAAAGTGTGAACAAAGAAGACCAAAATGCAGGGATTCCACAGAATCAACAACATTGATTCAAATTTGAATAAAAAAAAATTGAAGCTGGAAATGTGGCATTGGTAACTGAATACTCCTTAAACAATCTGAAACAAGCTCCAATTAAGGGGAGGCTTTCAATGGAAAACATCCAGTGACAATCATTGTCACAAATGACATTGTCCTCCTGGTTTTAAAACTCTTGAAATGCATCAATGTCTCTCTCGGTGTTAGAAATAACCATCTATGTGGAAAACTTCTATGTCCCTCAGTCAAAGAGGCTCCAAGCCTAGCAAGATCCACCTACCTCTGAAAGCTCCATGTAAGTATCTAGCAGTTTTGCAAAATCCTTGTTTTCACAAAACACAGAAGGTGTCTTATCTTCTCCTGATTTTGTTCTCAAGCCTCTAATGTGTTCCTCTGTAATGTGATTTTTTTGAACTCTTAAAAGTACACATAGCCTACATATCTTATTCATCACAGCAGTATTTGAATAGCATAGGTATGTTACAAAAATCTCTAACTTCAATTCATACTGAAGAAAAAAGCAGATGTAGCACACCTTTTTTTTTCTTTCTTTTTAAACATATCTTGTTTTTTCTGCTTCATTGCCTAGACACAAAAGGGCAGCTGTTCTAGTGAAGACATCTGAACAAGTCAGGCATACTATTTATTTTTGCAGTACCAGTTTCTAGAGCTCTTTGGCCAGGAAAAGCATCAAGCACCCACCTCCCCCATTTCCAGGCAATCTGAGTATCTGTCATTTTGCATTGCCACTTATTCTTGTGGTACCTAATGCTGTGGGGTTTGCTGGTTTTTTTGTTTTGTTTTTTTTAGGGGGAGGAGGAGGAGTGTTGGTTTTGTTTAGTTGTTTGTTTTTTTCCTTAGACCAACAACTATAGGTTCATCTCACTACAGCAGAATTTCAAATTTGCCTGTAATGGCTGAAAAGAAACATCTGAAAACTCAAACTCCAAACATCTGAGAACCAAAGAGCAAGTTCTTTAAGCTCCTGAATTTAATATAATACTTCAGAAACAAAGAGATTTATTAGTGATTTATGAACAATTAGAGCAATAACAACTCTAGCATTCTTTACTTTCAACAATGAGGGAGCTTGTAAATCAGTAAATACTGCTGGCATTTCTGGCAAAGGTTGCTTATTGGCAGTTTTGTAGTCCTAACATAGTGACTGTGTAGGACATCACTGCTAAGAAATCTGCAAGTCCACTTTCATTGTCTGCTAAGTTACACATCCATTTTACTAATGGCTTCTGTTTTTAAGGGCCTGAGCTTTTGCTGTATAACCTGGGCAGGTTAGAGAATATCAAAGCTCAACGGAATGTTAATTTTTGTCTGAAGAGGAAGCAGTATGAATAGCAATTAAAAGTGGTGCCATCCTATTCAGAACATTTTAAATGGTTTTACAAGATTTAAGTTCAGTTCAATTTTCAGGCCCTGGAATGCCAATAAAAAGAGAGAAATCACATAGGTGGAAAGTTAGCATAGAATATGGTTTCCAGTTGCTATATTATTAATAAGAACAAATAATAGATGACAGTTATTTCAATTAGGGGCTTATTTGCCCAGAATTCACTTTTCACTTAGCAAATATTGTTCTTCAGCTACTTAACACATGTAAAGTTTAAAACTATCCAAGAATCTTAATTTATATTTTGTAATTTAATTCTGTAGTGAACCCAATTAAAACAGATGATAAATATCTCAAGGCAAATAAAATTTGCAGCTCCATGTTCTTCTGCATAGCACATTAGAAACAAGAAAGATGTATATAAACTATAGTGTGAGGCTCTGGAAAATCCATATTTCCTCTGTACATGTTTTTATGTTGTGTGTTTGCCAGTTTTCACAGCGCATTTAGTAGAAGTAATTATTTGGTTAGTAAATACCATTTAAATCATATTTTTACTTAGCATAACCGTCCATAAAAGTCTTAATAGCACTGGTAAAATGACTCTTTTTCATAGATGGAACTAATAAAATAGTGTAAGTCATAAACACACATTAAAATGTGAAATTTCATCACTCAGTCTATCTGGTACAATTTAAAACCAGTTCTAGTAAATTCCCTTTGACTCCACTAAAGGGAAAGAATATTTTCTAAAGTGATACGAGTAAAAGATTTAAAAATTTTTTACATATGAACTATGAGGAGAGATATTTGTTTACTTGCTAGGAGTTCCTGTCATCTCCCAGATAGTTTCAGATTCATATTGTATATCACATACAACATTGAGGATGAGTAAGAAATAAGTTTTGTGCACTTTGTCTGGTGAAATCTACAATTCAAGTTGCTCAGCACTCTTTTACAGGATGCTTTTATATATTCAAGTTTAAACCTTGTATGTTTAAACCTTGTATGCTATACGATTAGTGGGGTAGGGTGGGCAGAGGGAGGGATAGTGTGCTTAGACTATTTGCAGAATGAGATTGGACTTTTAAAAATCATGTTTATCCTCTAATAAAAAAAACCTATGTGATTAAGTAGTTAAGACATTCAATGGCCCCGTGTTCAAGAGGAAGAAATTAAATTTGGCAGCAGAGCCGTACTTGTGTCAAAGATGTGCTTTCACAGAGCATATTTATTTACATTAAGTACACCCACATTCTGCCATGCTTGATGAATCTTGATTCACACATGCCCAGAAGAGATTCACTGGCATTTGACACTTTTGCATCAAATATGGCCTTGCCTGTGACTATAAGAGCTGAGCAAGATTATTCCTGCAGTAAGAAAATTTCAGTGGCTGCCCAGCACCTCAGAAGCCTGTGTTTAAGCTGGCTGCAGAAAAGAGACAGTTTTTCCCATGTTCCCAAGGCTTTGCCTGTGAAAAGCAACACAGAGAAAGTGAAATTACCTGAACTGGAACAGAAAGTAGTTGGGCAATACCAGAACTACGGAAAAAAGGAATCTTTATTCAGCCCCCATGGGTATAGGCATTACGATAATCTTTAATTAGGTGATCACATACTTTTTCCTACAAAATTCTTGCCCCACTCAGTGAACGTTTAACATTTTTTTTGCATCTGCCTCAGTGTGTGGTCCTGAATAATAACAATTTTGACATTTCCTAAATTTCGAGCATTTTATTTCCTACCTTTAAAAATACTTCAATATAATGGTTTGCATTCAAGAAATGCAGTAAATTACATGTAGAGGCAGCATAGTATACAAAGCACTTTGTTCACTGAATTCACTGCACAATATCCACAACCACAATAAACACCACCATAAAAAAAAAAATCACTAATTGGCACCTTGCTATTAAGCCTGGGAGGAAGGTCAGGAACTGAGTAGCTGATGGAGATTGAACCTCCAACCCATTATGCTTCAGGGAGGTTCTCCTAGGGTTGGGACAAGATTCACAAGCAAGAAAGGGCTCAAGCGCCTTTGAACTTTACTGAAAAATCTATGTTCTAAGGAAAAATGGGAAACAAGAATCTAAGCTGAGTAGCTTACTTCAAAAAGTGATCTTGTTTAGCTAAACTCGTACTTGGTAGTATGGTTACTACCAAGTAAAAGCAAAAGCAAGTAAATACTGAAGAGATTTTTGGACATCTGTAGCATTTTTGGGAAACCAATCAGCCTGTTTAAAAGCCTCCTTCTGAGTTCAGAGTTCCTCATATTTAACCGGAGCTGCTAGCATAATAAAAGAAAAAAAAACCCGAAAACACAAACCCACAGCAACTGAAACAAAAAACTGCTTCACGTTTTTAATAGGGCACAACAGGAATCCACAAAACAAGAAAGCCACGGAAGCAATTTGTCTCACTTGTAGAAGCAGTGCTAGATAAACACATGCGAGATAAATATTATTGTTTGCTAAACTACCGCCCTATTTTGAAACCAAATTCTCTCTTGCAAGTCAAGATTTATGAGAATTACATTGCTTACACAGAACCTGGAAACCTAAATATGCCTTTAGATCCTCACACTCTGTAAAAGAAAGAAAAATAGAAAGAAAAAAAAAGTGCCTTTTAGCTGCACACAGTCAGGCAGGAAAATTACAGCCTCACATTTTCAACGCTACAGTTAATGCTGTGTCAGCACCTCCATCAAACCTCGTTGTTCAGCAGTTTATAAAAAGTTCACTCCGAGCCGAAACTTGGCACCCACGGCCCAGAAAGGAAAGTGCCGAGGAGAAGCAAATAAACCCGCCGTGCCGCCGCTCGGTGGCGGGGGGCAAAGGGGCAGGGGCGCAGCTCGGCCGCACATCGGGGCCACTCATGGCCCTCCACGGGGCGACCCCAGGTCCCGCTGGCAGCCCCCGCCAGCCGCGCTGCGACCACCAGGGCAGGGCAGCGGCGAAGGGCCGCCTCCAGCCTGATCCCCCCTCCTTCCCACCGCGCCGCCGGCTCTGCCCCTCCGCTGCCTTCACCTCCTCGAAGGGGGCGGACACCAGCTCGGCCTCCCAGCTCGGGAGTGCGGAGGGTCGGCGCCCCGGAGAGTCGCGGGCGGACTTGGGCCGCTTGGGGCCCATGGCGGTGCGGGCGGGCGGCAGGAGGAGGCCCCGCTGGCCCCACGCGTCGCCCTGGCGACCGGTCCCGCGGGGCGGCGCCTGCCGGGCGGGAGAGCTCCGGTGCGCGGCGGGGGCAGCGCTCCTGCGAGGAAAGGCTGAGAGAGCTGGGCCTGTCCAGCCTCGAGAAGAGCGGGCTGAGAGCGGACCTCATCAATGTATATAAATATGTAAAGGGGTGGGGGTGTCGGCAGAATGGAGCCAGGCTCTTCTCGGTGGTGCCAGGTAATAAGAAAACAGGCAATGAACAGAAACTGATCCACAGGAAGTTCCACGTGGGCATAAGAACTTTTTTACTGGATGGGTGTGCTGGAACAGATTGCCCAGAGGGGTTGTGGAATCTCCCTCGCTGGAGATATTCCAGAACCGTCTGCACGCAACCCTGTGCCATGTGCTCTAAGACAACCTCGATTACGCAGGGAGGTTGGCCCAGATGACCCACAGTGGTCCCTTCCAACGTGACTGATTCTGTGGGATTTTTGCAGGGTTTTCAGGTGCTTTCCCTCATCATTTTTGAGATGGGCTGCCTGGAGGAGAGGCATTACTGAGGCTGTGTGGGAAGTGTTGGGCCTGCATATATTCACACAGCCACCAAGTGACATGTCACATCCCCAGGGCCCCACAGCAGCACCCACTGCAGCTCTCCGTGTGCCTGGGGAGGAGGGCAAAGGAGTGATCTCCAGCCATGGCGCTGGAGCGTGACCTGAGCAGTGAGGCGGGGGGTCAGCCAGGTGTGGGCAGCCAGGCCTGCTCCCAGACCCAAGTGGCTCTCCAAATACTACCATATGTTACAGCACTGGGACCAGAAGGGGAGAGGGAGGCACAGTTGGGAGAAAGCAGGAGAGCTGCCAAGATAAAGAATTCATTACAGAGGAGTCATGTCGTGATCTCACACTGGAGACGAGTGAAATATTCTGTGTGATTTAACATTTGGTGAAAATACCCCAAACCACATGCTGCCCTTCCCCCACCCCCTTATACCGACCAGGGTTGCTCAGAGCCTCCAAATCTTTATTTTATTTTCGTCAGAGCTTAAAACCCTGCTGTGCAGCACATTACTACTTTAGTCAGGATTTCGTTCTGGGATGATACTGACCTAGTGTGTGTGCTGTATAAAACACCTTTTATTACCTGGGTTTAGTGAAGAAATAGGAATTCAATTTCATAGGGGATGTAACAGGCAAGTCATCATCTTCGTTTGCAGAAGGGTATCTTCCCCAGGTTTGCAGATAGTGATGCAGTTGATAACATGGAAAAGCATCACAGTAGATTTGCTAACATCCATAAACATTTTCCCCCACCCCACTTCTTGGCTAACATCCATTTTTTTTCCCTGAGTTTTTCTTTTTTTGCCCAGAAAAAAAATAAAAAAAATCAGACTTCAATTGTTCACAGAAAAAGGCAGTGTGACATTCCCTCCATATCCTTATTCTTCACTAAAATCTTGGATACACAACCTGTGCCTGCTGAGGTGCACTGAAAGAGTATGGAAAGGAGGAACAGGGCAGGATCACCAGCTGATGTAGCAGAACAGTACAGAGGTTTGGGGCAGAATGCACAGATAATGGTGCCAAATATCCTAATTATGAATCACACTTCAGATTTTTCGTCACTAAGTTTTCAGGACTGAATATAAGCTTCAGGAGGATTGACAGGAGGAGGCTATGCACACAGATCTGGATGGTATGGCAAGAAATACACACTAACGTGATGTCAGTGGGAGAGGACAAATGCTTAATTATACCCATACCTGGATGTGTATGCTCAGGATTGTTAGGAAAGTTAAAAACCAACAAGACTGATGTCAGCCTACAAATAGCTCTGAGAACAGAAACAACTGCAGTGAGAACCATGAACTGACCTGTTTATGTCTAACGTGTGTTTGCTTGATACGTAAAGATTATGTGAAGGAAATTGTTTTGTTCTGCTGTGTACTGCTGTAGTAAATGCATCTAGATAACTTGTTTATTGTTGGTTACTGTAGCAGATAGCAAGTCAAGCTCTAGTAGAACAGCTGATACCAGTTCATTTAAAATTACTTCCACCACTCTCGCAAACAAAGGAGAGGAAGAAATTATTAACTATTACAAAGGGGCCTAGCATAGAAGGGCTAAATATATATAACCTAAAATGGGTTATCCAGCAGTGAAGCCAGCTGAAGATGTCTGTTTGGCTGCTTGTCCCTGTCCATTCCATTGTGCTGCCAAAGATGCTTGTAGGCCAGGCTGTAAACCAGATCACTGAAACCCCCTTGATTACATCCTACAACAGACAGACAAACCAAGAATACTGGGAAACTACAGCCTTTGTTTCCTCCAAATGGTCTGGACTGCAAAACACCCAGCTGCGTGTTTTGCAGCTGAGCCATTTGAAAATCTTCAACTTCCTTCTGGTAACTAAAAGATGAAGTTGCTGTATTCTTAAAACTTGTATTAGCAAAACTGAATGTAATTCAACTATGCTGGTAAGCCACTGATGAGAAGAATAGGCAAATTAAGGATCCAGAGAGACAACACACAATTTGAGGTACCTTCTGCAAAAAAAAAAAAAAAAAAAAAAAAAAGGAATGCGCAGATATAAGCTCAATATTTCCAAGTAATGAAATTAGGTCTACTATTAAAGCTTGATGACTTGGTGCATGACAAGAATATTTATGGCGAGATTTTCAGGGAGAGTGGCAACCTAAAAATCATGATCAGCCTTTTATTATCTGGCTTATTAAAAAACACCATTTGTAAAATACACATGTGGAGTATCCTAAGGCATGAATTTACAATAAAATGAAATTCTGAATAATACTCGGCGTAAATAAAACATAGCTTACCTTTTCCTTGGAGAGGGGTTAACAAGCCTGTGTATTCTGAATTTGTACAGCAGAGTAAGAAAGCATACATGCATACATGATTCATACTGTGGAGTAGCTAGACACAATAACATGCTCCTGTGCCCACATTTTTAGTAATAATATAGAAGGAATGTTTAAAAATAAGGTATACTTTTTTACCTCTACCAGGAAGAAGGAACATTAGTTGCCTTTTATTTTAGAGTGACTTAAAGAACATTTGCACTTACTTGTTATTCAGTAAAGTGTGGGGAGTGGAAAGGCATTACTAATTGTACATGTCATTTCTTCTCTACATGATATTTCCTGAAAGACTACAGTTGACTAAGGAACTAGTAAAGGTTTTGGATCTTAATAATTAAGGCCTGATAGAGTGAGAAAGGAATTAAAAAAAAAAAAAGCAAGCATGATTAAAATTAAGTGCTTATTTTAAATGCTTAAGAAATATTTGGAAAAAAAAATGATCTTTTCAGTAAGAACCATCAAATTTTCACCCTCAGTTGAGAAGTGAGCAGAAAGAGTCCTCTTTGCTTGAGTTCTTAAGAACACACTTAATTGCTTTATGTTGCTTTCATAAGATCTAAATGTTTCTGAAATGGGGAGGCTTCCTGAATTATGGCTTCAGAAAGTAGTTTCTGTTTTACAAACTTTCAAGAAAGGTTGTCTAGAACAGCTAACATAGCCTTCAGCATATATGGAAAAAGCCCTTCATTTTTGTTATATTCCTAAAAGAAGATGAGAGGTATTAAAGAAAAAAAAAAAAAGGTACACTTCTCCCACTCTCCCCTCCTCCCCACCCTGCACTAGAGAACATTGCTCAGTCCTTTTTCCCGTCAGAAAGTATGAAGAGGAAGAACATAAAACTCATTTTGCTTTCTTTTCCAGTTTCATAACACTGCAGCATCTGGACTGGGAACAGCTTTTGCTTGAAGTTTGCAACCCCCCAGGACACAACCATCTCACAAGTTACACAGATTTGACAACTACAGCATGTGTTTCCACAGCCTGCCTGAACTCTCACATACTAAGTTGGATGTAGGAGCTCTTTGCCTACTGTTGCTACTCTGGCCACCAAATGATTATTTATAATTTATTTCTCAGTCTCTAGATTCATTTATATAACAATTTGCATAAAGCTTCCCACATGGACTGCATTGGCCTTGTGGATGCGGACCAAATATCTGTTTTGGCTTTACAATCTAGAAAGCTTATTTCTACATCAGTAAATTATAAGTGCATGTACCGTGAAAGGGACAAAGGTTACAGCGAGTGTAAATACATTAATACACTCCCCTTCTGAATATGGCGTGGTGCACTTATAATTTTTCTAGTGCCAAAGATCAATAATTTCTTAATTAGACTGAATTCTAATCATAATGAAACAATAAAATTAACCCTTCTTCTCAGACTGTAATGGGCCTTCCTAATAAGATAAGGGTTGCTAGAGGGTTGCTGAATTGTGAGAACATGTGGGGATGTTTAGAGAGAAAGGGAACAGCTAAATAATAAAGACAGTGCAATTCAGACAAGTCCATCCACCACATGGCAAGGCTTGCCCTCCAGTGCTGGGCCACTCTATGCACAAATCAATAGACCTAACCTATTTAAACATGTCTGTCTAATAACATGGCCAAAAATCAAAGCAAATGATAGATATTCCCTTCTTTCTCCAGCATTTAGTAAGTACCTGGCCAGTCATTGTTTTTTTCTTCACTCAGATATTTCCAGTCAAGCTGCATTATAAATGTATGTAGTCTCTGTTGTTTATCACAAGCATAATATACAGAACAGATCAAACTTTCTTTATATACACAGATCAGTTTACATTTAAAAGTCTCCACCAACTTTGTTTTACTGGAAAAAAAAACAACAACAACAAAACTTACAAGGCCCAGTATTTAATTGCAGAAAAGATGCTTTCATAGTCTGCTCTCCCACACGCATACATGTGCAAGAAGAATGCTTTTTCCTCTCTATAACCAATGGCATAAAGATTCCTGGCAAAGTTCAAAATGAAATCCATTATCATCTGTCAGTAAAATGACTTCCAAATTCCAGCTGGATGCTGTGCAATAGTCTCTTTAAAGAAAGACTCCCTTTGCATTTGCTGTTGTAGTTCTAC